TAGACTGATATATCGATTGGCAGATATATCAGACCGATATTTGGACTGTATAGAGTTGAGCCCGACCGATATATCGGCTGGCCGATATTATCGGCCAGTATGGGCACATGGAGACATATCGGCTATCGGCCGATATGCTTGCTGATATGGGCCGATATTTCACGTGGGCATGTTATACCTCGTTATAAAGCTTAGACTCTCTACATTATGTTCATTTAATCCAATTTATAGACAGATAAATGTCCTAATATGTGGCTCCGCATCAGTATTTATTTGCGGTGTAATTTGTCTGTGTCCGTACTGTCCCTGAACACACCCCCAGAGTGGCGTCACTTCACTCACGTGTGTTTGTTTACACCCGCAGCCGTGCGCAACACAGAATATATTCTTTTTATGGACAATCGGTTTGAGTCTGGATTAAAAGGACATTTATTAGTGCAGACTTGTGATGTGAGGAGGAGCCTGTGTGAGCGGTGAGTGTTGGAAATACATCGACTTTGAAGCTAGTTTAGGTTATCTGTTAGCGATTAGCTGCTGTAGCTCCCGCACATAAACAGGCTGTTTTCTATTGGCCTATTGTAAAGTGACTATATTGTCCATATTTTTGTTACTGGACCAGCATTGATATGTAAATAAGCTGTGAATAGACGTGTGAATGTTCCACATTTATGCATATAATTAATACCGCGGTGCGCACGTTTTTACGGCTAAAGGCTAATAGCGGTAGTTTATTTACTAGCTAGGAGTTATGGGTCGGTCGCGATCGAAGCGGCTCTTAGAGCCGGCTCTTTGAAGTGAACGACGGGAGCATGTTTCTTATTGGGAGCCGTGTTTTCTCTTTTTCTCTTCAAGCTGCATGTAGACCCGTAGTTTGACAGCAGCAGCAGCTGAAAACGAAACTTTCAGAAATCTGCGTGTGCATAGGATAAAAAAAAAGTGCATGTTTGGCTGCAGTTCAGCATAAAATGAATAAAGCAGGACTAATCTTGGGCTTGAGAGAGAGATAGAGACCGAGTCCCGACACTCAGTCCTGGTTCAATTCTGGTTTAGTCCTGTTTTACACATGGTTTAAATCTGTTTTAGTCCTGGTTTAGTCCTTTTTCAATCCTGGTCCAGTTCTGGTTTAGTCCTGCTTGCAACAAAACAATCTCAAGAGTCGCTTGGGAGCCGAAAGAGCCAGCTGCTTTAGTGAGCCGAGCCAAAAGAGACGGTTCTCCAAAAAAAACCAAAAAAACTGGAATACCCATCACTAGTAGCTAGAAAAAGATGCAAAAATGCCATTAGGCCAATCTACTGTATGTAAATATGATGTAAAGAGTCAGAATAACAATAAATATTGCCTAAATAAACCCAATTTAGAATCCACTAGAGCCAAACCTAAGTTTTTTAAACAATTCAAGCTTTACAGTGAATTTTTACAGCACTAAATATATCGGCGATTATATCGGCTATCGGCAGCTCCAACTCCCATTTTATCGGTCTCATATTGGCCACAACAAAATCCATATCGGTCGGGCTCTAGTATAGAGCATCAACGATGAGGAGTAAATATCCAGCACAGACCAATATTTTGTTTTGGTCAATCTGCTGCCTAAAAAATGCACACAAAGCTTTTTTATAACTGCTGAAAATGACTACAGCTCTCTTTAAGGTTAGTTAATGAAAACAAAAGAGAAAATAATCTAAAAAGGCCTAAAAATATCCTCAGATCTTATCGGTCTTCATTTTCTCTGGATTCTTTAAAAAACCCTATCTCCCCATTCTGTAGTGTGTCCCGTATTAACCCCACGTGAATCAAAGTGAGCTAACGTGCTAATGCTCACTCTATCTGCTCTACTGACATCATTCTACTCCAGATCGATAAAACCTGAGTCACTGCTGCCTGACCACACGCTAGACTCTGTGAGCTGCGCAGGAAGTCACTGACTAAAGATCTGTATTTATCACAGAGAAAACAGAAATGTAATCCATCATGTTTATCAAATTATTCTAGGACAAGATCCAGGGATAAACTCAGTGGAAGCCCAAGGCCGTTCCAGAAAATGGCTCAGTAAAGTTGCTTTTATTTAACTTAGATTTTTTCTTCTTTCTGCTCCTTTTCATTCATTTCTTGTGTGTCTGATGTTGTGACACTGTCGATGTCTTTTTATACTTTATGAATGAAATAAATAAAAAAAATAATAAAAAAACTCACCAGACACTTTAGGTTTAAGGGGCATAAGACAGGGTTTCATATTAGTAGGACACGTAGTAAATATTTATCATAGTTTAATTTTTGACCTCTAAAGTGGAATGTGTAAGCATTAAAAAGGGGCTGTTTTATTTCTGTGGGGTATTATCTAGAGCCCGACCAATATGGATTTTGTTGTGGCCAATATGAGACCGATAAAATGGGAGTTGGAGCTGCCGATAGCCGATATAATCGCCGATATATTTAGTGATGTAAAAATTCACTGTAAATCTTGAATTGTTTAAAAAACTTAGGTTTGGCTCTAGTGGATTTTAAATTGGGTTTATTTAGGCAAAATTTATTGTTATTCTGACTCTTTGTGTCATATTTACAGACAGTAGATCACATTCTAGCTACTAGTGATGGGTAGCAGGACTAAACCAGAACTGAACCAGGACTGAGCATCGGGACTTGGTCTCTATCTCTCTCCCTCTCTGGAGCCCAAGATTAGTCCTGGTTTATTCATTTTATGCTGAACAACAGCCAAATATGCAAGTTTTTTTCTATCCTATGCACACGCATATTTCTGAAAGTTTCATTTTCAGCCGCTGTGGCTGTCAAACTACGGGTTTACATGCGGCGTGAAGAGAAAAAAAATGATAGAAAGAGAAAACACGGCTTCCAAAAGGAAACAGCTCCCGTCGTTCGCTTCAAAGAGCTGGCTCTAAGAGCCATTTCGTTCGTGACCGAACCATCACTACTAGCTAGTAAAGAAATGTCCTTTTAATCCAGACTCAAACCGATTGTCCATAAAAAGAATATAATCTCAGTGTTGCGCACTGCTGCGGGTGTAAACAAGAGCACATAAGTGAAGTGACGTGACTCTGGGAGTGTCTTCAGGGACAGTACGGACACACACACAGACAAATGACTCCGTAGATAAATACTGATGCAGAGCCACATATTAGGACATTTATCTGTAAATTGGATTAAATGAACAGAATGTAGAGAGTCTAAGCTTTATAACGAGGTATAACATGCCCACGGGAAATATCGGCCCATATCAGCAAACATATCAGCCGATAGCCGATATATCTCCAAGAGCCCACATCGGCCGATGATATCGGCCAACCGATATATCGGCCGGGCTCTAGTATTAACTGCTAACACATAACATTTTTAGATCACCATGTTACTTTTTATTGTTATTAATGCTATATTCACCAAACAAACAATCAAACAAACAAACAAAAAATATTATTATTTTTATATTTTGTATTAAATTATAAAAAAGAAACATAAAATAGATTTTGCATAATACCCCCTGTTTAAACAGCTCAACGCCATGCAGTGTTCCACAGCTCCACACAGTTACATATCCTTACACACATAAAACATTATAACTCCACCTGTAAGTATTTTGTCTGGCTGCACTTGTAATGTCACTTATGTCACACATTTTCTCTCTTCTGATAAAAAAGTTGAGGCCAGTACAGACCCAGTACCACATGTGTGGTACCAGGCTGTGACAGACTCAGCTGAGACAGACTGAGACAGGGGAATAATACAACAGGGAGAGAGGGGGAAAGAGAGAGAAAGATAGATGGGAGAGGGAGAGAGGGAGAGGGAAGAGAGAGGAAAAACAGAGGAAAAGACAGGAGAGAGTTAGAGCTATGAGAGAGAGTGGGTGGGTAGGAGAGAGAGGGACATACAACAGCGAGAGAGAGAGAGAGAGAGAAAGAAAGAGAGAAAGAAACAACAGAGAGTGAGTGTGAGAGAGAAAGAGAGAAGGAGAGGGGGAGAGGAGACAGAGAAAGAGGATAGGTTAGAAGAGAGAGGGAGAAAGAGAGAGGAAGAGAGAAGAGAAATAGTGAAGAGCGGTGCATGAGAGAGTGAGAATAAAGCTTGTTTTCTGTGAAAGCCCTGCTCAGAGGGAGGCCTGAAATCAAACAGACTGTTGGAACAAACTAAACTGCTCTGGGAATCCTCATATAAATACAACAGGCTTTAGAAAACAACAAGAATCCTCTGCTCCTCTCATCTGCACCTGCTTTTCCTCTGAACCTCAACTCTGCTCCTCTGACCTCTCTACATCCTCTGCTCCTCTGACCTCTCCTTTGCATCCTCTGCTCCTCTGACCCTCTCCTCTACATCCTCTGCTATTCTGACCCACTCATCCTCATCCTCTGCTCCCTCTGACCTTCTCCTCTTCATCCTCTCCATCCTCTGACCCTCTCCTCTTCATCCTCTGACCCTCTCCTCTTCATCCTCTGCTCCTCTGACCTCTCCTCTTCATCCTCTGCTTCCTCTGACCTTCTCCTCTTCATCCTCTGCTCCCTCTGACCTTCTCTTCATCCTCTGCTCCCTCTGACCTTCTCCTCTTCATCCTCTCCATCCTCTGACCCTCTCCTCTTCATCCTCTGACCCTCTCCTCTTCATCCTCTGCTCCTCTGACCTCTCCTCTTCATCCTCTGCTTCCTCTGACCTTCTCCTCTTCATCCTCTGCTCCCTCTGACCTTCTCCTCTTCATCCTCTCCATCCTCTGACCCTCTCCTCTTCATCCTCTGCTCCTCTGACCTCTCCTTTGCATCCTCTGACCTCTCCTCTACATCCTCTGCTCCTCTGACCCTCTCCTCTGTGTCCTCTGTTCCTCTGACTTCTCCTCTGCGTCCTCTGCTCCTCTGACCCTCTCTCCTGTGTCCTCTCCTCCTCTGACCCTCTTTTCTGTGTCTTCTCCTCCTCTGACCCTCTCTTCTTTACCCTCTGCTCTGTCTGACCTTCTCCTCTTCTCTTTCTTTACAGTTGCGGTTCTCCTCCAGTATTTGTTGAGATGAGTGCAATAACTTTGTCTCCGCTGACCCCTGAACTCCCGTCGCCCATGGCAACCTCTGCGACCCCGTGTGACCCCTGTGACGAGATGGACCCGGCTCTGGACCAGGATCTAAACCAGGACCAGGATTTAGAACAGGGATCCTCAGTGCGACAGGGAGCCAGCAGAGGCACCACCACTGGGCAGGATTCTAAAAGGTAAAAGGACTAAAACATAAAAAGTACTTCAAATTATTACTCAGTTGTTATTTAGATGTTAGATAGAGATGTTTTTGCTTTGAAATCCATTAAAAAACATGCATTACCGTCAGCGGGCTTTCCCTTTCCACAGATCTGACCTGTAACATGGCTTGAAGCCTTCTCCTGCTTGCAATACATGCTATTACAATGACAGCTTAGGTGAAATAGACCGAAATTTACTTCTGTTGTAATAAATGAGGGTATAAAACAATATTTCTTGCACTTCTGTCAATGTCATTTCACATTTGTCAACTAATTCATTTGAAGACATATTTTAAGACATGTTTGTTTGATTGACATAACATTAAAATACAAAGATACTCAACCTTAACTTGATCAAATCTGCAAGCATACAGCTTGACATGAACTGAGTACTAAAACATTTGTAATTCAAATGTCAAAGTCAAAGCTCCTCTCCCCTGTGCAGGTGTCAGAAGCCCCCTCCTCTGCACACTGGAGCAGACTGGAAGGTGGTTCTACATTTACCTGAGATCGAGAAATGGCTCCGAGCTTCGGGAGAGAGGGTCACTCAGCTCTCTCACTCTGTGTCCCAGGACAGAGAGGGGAGACACGTGGACGCTCATTTGCTGCAGCTAAAGGTAAAGAGCTAAACAAAGTCTACTGTACACTTTAACATACACTCTGCCTGCTGCAGCTGAAGGTACAGTGTTTCTTCTGTGCAAGCAAAAAGGTGGAATTCTGTCAACTGGACATTTTTTGTTTGAGTGTATAAGTTTGCCCAGTCATCCAAGTAGCCTTATATCTGTCTGAAAGGAGGAGCTAACATCAGTGAAACTAACACATCCTAGTTGTTTACAGTAAGGAGTATCTGTTATTAAGTTAAGTCAATTGAACTACCCCAATGTGTGAACTGTCACTTTAGTCATATTTGAATAATAATGCATTAGTCTTATACAGCGTTTTTCCAGATGCTTAAAGTCACTTAACATTTTTGTGCATGATTCTTGCACTCCACACTTGGCGGTGGTAATATACTATTAGTACTGTAGACATAGCTGTCCCAGGGCAGACTGATGGAAGAGAGACTGCCATTCTGCATCATTGGCCCCCTTCGACCACCAACTCACAGTGCTGCTTAGCCCTGAGATCTGACAGGATCAGGCTTTGGCAGGGACGTTTGGCTTAATATTTACATGTTTATATTCTATCTTTCATAGCATTAAATATCATCTTGCACCTATTAGCATATCCTGATTAGCCCAAATGTTTTCTTTGGTTTGGGTCTGAGGATGGTTATAAATAGGTAAAACATATTCAATGTACAAACTTTTGTCCACTTAACAGAATTGCTGTGGACTCTCCCTGAATGAGTAACTACACATCCTAGCTGCTACTGTGTTCATCAAGGTGTTCCTGTGTTTCTATTTAAATGCATTATATAAGTCTGATGGTTCTGTAGAAACCTGCACGAAGCGTAGCAGGGCCATCTGCTGGATCCATATGGACATTACAGCAAAAATGTGGACTTAAGCTCAGATTGGTGTGTGGCGCCCTCCAGGGGACACCAGACAAACTGCAGTACCCAGAGTTGCAGCTGTTGGTTTATTTCTGTCTCTGATCTCACCTCAGCTGTGACACAGGAATCCTGAGAATGGACCAAAACAGGGAGGGACCGAGGAGAGGAGAGAAGGAAGCAAGGAGACAAGGAGGACAGGAGGTTAGGGAACAAGGAAGGAAGGTGGCAAGAGGGAGAGGAGACAAGGAGTTTAATTTAGGGTGCATTCAGACTTGGTTTAGTCTTGGGCTAGTTCAGATTTAGTTCCAGGATTAGCCCCAATTTTGGTGTTGTGTGGATAAGTAATGAAAGTGTGAACGCACCCTTAGTTAATATGACGTTCTCAAATGTGCGTCGCCACTATGTAAAAGATGCAAACCCTGTAGTTTAGGCCTGTACACACATGCTCTGAAATGCCCGTGTGTCAGATGTGTCAGATGCACTCCCTGTGTGTCAGATGCCCTTCCTGTGTGTCCACAGGGTCTGTATAAAAGCTGCTAATCCTGTAGTTTAGCCCCCTACTGACATGTTCTGAAATGCATGGAATTTGGATTAGACTAGTCTTGTTTATGCAGTGTTTTCCCTTAATATAAAAGTGTAAATTGTACACGTGAGTCTATTGACAGTTGCAGTTAGATATTTTTCCTGGGCCGGTCAGTCCCTGTCTGTAACACGTGTTTACCCACAGTTGTCATTAAAGCAGCTGTTTGTCTCTGTGTCACCAGAACATTACACAGTTGCCTCATGTAAACAAGTCTTCTCACAACTAAAGGAGAGATATGTTTAGTTCTGTTTGTGAAGGGAATCATTTCTCCTTTAAATTGTCTAGACATGTTCAGGTCAAAATCAGGGTCAAAGTTCAGAGACCAAAAAGATAAAAGTGTGTTTGAGTTGTAGGAAAACATAAACAGCAGGTGAGACAGTCAGTGGAGCAGGCTTATTTTACACTCTGTCTATAGTTTTTTTTCCCCTACTATCTCTAACACTACTTTGTCTTACTATGAATGCATTCTGCACTGTCTTGATCACTTCTGGGGAAGGGTTTGGCAGCGAGCTACTTATTCTCTAGCAATATGAAATCTTATTCTTATTCTGTGTGAAAGCTGCTAACCCTGTAGTTAAGATTTCTATCAACATGTTCTGAAATGCATGAGATTCTTTTATTAGTTATTACTCTCTAAAATTAAGGGAGTTAAAAATTGAACTGAACCAAATTTTTGATAATTGTTGTTAAATATTTTTTTCCAAGATTATTCAGACCTAATTTTGGTTCAGATCGGCTTCTGTAAAATGAGATTAGAGAAACTTTATATGTAACACAGTATGAAAATTCTAGTGTTGCAACATGCAGTTCAAGAATAGAAATATGCTATCAAAAATCAAGTCAAATAACTGATAAAAATAGACTTAAATCTAAACATTTACAGAATATGCTTGAATAAAGTTAAGATGTACATTTGCATTGTGGCCTTGTTCTCACATTGCAGTTAGTTGTCATTAGTTGTCATTAGTTGTCATTCGTTGTCTGCAGGTTCTGTTATTAAACCTTAACCTTGACTCTCATTCTAAACTGTGTTTGCCCTCATGTTGCTCCTGTCTGTCTCTGAACGTGAGATGCTCCAAAAATAACCCCCCCCTGCCCCTGTAGCTGTTGTGTCCCTCCCCCAAAGTCCTGCTCAGAAATGGGTCAGAGTCTCACCGGAGCACATGGAGCTAACTCTGAGTCAGTCTGTACAACCTCATGGTGAAAATGGACTTTACCTGTGGGCTGTAGCTGGAGGAATAACACACTGAGGAGGAGGTAGGACTAAAGGCATGTTTCTATTAGAATCAATGCCAATTTAGACCTCAAACTGGGGCTGGTCGATTATGTAAAATAAACAAACAGATTTGCTTAATAATATAGTGAACTTGAAGAAAGAAGTGATTTATTATCATTTATTCATCATTTAAAGTGGGTCTATTCAGCAAAATTGACTTTTCAGAGCTTTTAACCATCTGATAGTTGTTTCCTCTCACCATTTACTCACCTGAAGTTGTATTTGGAGTGATTCCTGCATGTTAGAGCACTTTTCAATTACTTATTTTCAAGACACCATTTTGCTGATCAACTCCTGTTTTCTGCCACTGGTGCAGCCCACTGTGATGTACTCACTTCATTCTACAATTTTATTTTCTTAAACTGGCCACATTGCCCTGATAGAACACATTCAGGAGCCTCCTACTCACCTCATAAGATCTGAGTTTTCTCTAAAAGAACAGTCTGGACAGATTTTTTTTTTAAAACAACCATCACTGTTCCTCCTCCTGTTCAGCTTACTGTCCAGATGCACTCCTAAGTACTTATAACTATTTCAATAAACTGCCCTTTGATGACCACTGGAGAGACAGCTTGTTTTTTCCCTAAAGTTCATGTGTTTTGTTTTAAGCTACAGAGCAGAAAGAAGCACAATAGGTCTGCTTTAAAGGTGCACTATGTAACATTTCTTGTGGTGGGTCAGTCACCATTTTGTCTCCATGGAGATGTTATTGCTTTACCCAGAATTTTACACATGATGCTGATACATGGGGATAAATGAGTAATGCCACCAGGCCGAGGTATAGGTCAGATCTGTGTAGAGGCGATCCCGCTCAGAGTGAAAGTAATGTATTTCCATTTATTTTTGACTCATTAAAATACCTGTGATATAACAGACTCATTCCAGGTGAAGCAGTAACATTCTGAGACTAGCAGTTGGCAGATTTCCCCATCAGAAAAGTTTCATAGTGCATCTTTAAGTCATGTTTGGTGAGAGTGAAACTCATTTTGGGAAAGAAATTGCTTTATGAATAAGAGATTGGTCTAACCAGGACTAATGCAGAAATGTACCAATATTTTTAAATGAAATGATTCATTATGTGTGAGATGCTTCAGACTTGGTCCATTGACTGTTAAATGTGTTTTTTTTTGGCCTTTTTATTGCATTCTAAACTCCCACCAGCAATAAATATATTTCTTCATTCTTGTTTTGTAGTTTATAATGAAAAAAATCAGTAATTAACTGAAAAACTATTGTTATGTGGATTTAATTGCTTGAAACCAATAACAACATTGTAAACACATTTTGAAATGAAAAATAGTGCAATTATAATTTTTATTTTTTCAAATATTCTCAGAATTTCAGGAATGGCACTGCACCCCAGCGATCTTATCATTATCATTAGTTCTAGATTCTTAATCAGTCCTGGTTTAGTCTTAGTCTTAGTTCTGGTTCTGGTTTATAGTTTATTCTATTCTGTCCTGTTTAGTCCTGGTTTAGTCCTGTAGTCTTCTGTTTAGTCCTAGTCCTGTTTAGTTTAGTCCTGTTTAGTTTAGTCCTGGTTTATTTAGTCTGGTCCTTTAGTCCTTTAGTCCTAATTAAGTCCCGTTTTAGCCCTGGTTCAGTCCTGGTGTTGTCCAGATAAAATCCAGTTTTAATCCTGGCCTAGTGCTGCTTTAGTTCTGATTAAATCCAGTTTTAGTCCTGGTCTAGTCCTGCTTTAATCCTGATTAAATCCAGTTTTAATCCTGGTCTGGTCCTGCTTTAGTCCTGATTAAGTCCAGTTTTAATCCTGGTTCAGTCCTGGTCTAGTCCTGCTTTAGTCCTGATTAAGTCCAGTTTTAATCCTGGTTTGGTCCTGCTTTAGTCCTGATTAAGTCCAGTTTTAATCCTGGTTTGGTCCTGCTTTAGTCCTGATTAAGTCCAGTTTTAGCCCTGGTTCAGTCCTGGTCTAGTCCTGCGTTAGTCCTGATTAAGTCCAGTTTTAGTCCTGCTTTAGTCCTGATTAAGTCCAGTTTTAATCCTGGTCTGGTCCTGCTTTAGTCCTGATTAAGTCCAGTTTTAGCCCTGGTTCAGTCCTGGTCTAGTCCTGCTTTAGGTGTGATTAAGTCCAGTTTTAGTCCTGGTCTAGCCCTGCTTTCGTCCTGATTAAGTCCAGTTTTAGTCCTGATTCAGTCCTGGCCCTGTCTCCGTCTTTGATCTGTGTCAGTTGAAGGTTATTACCGTACATATTGCGTTCTGTCTGGTCTCTGGACTCTCGCACTTTAAACCTTCTGAAGTTTAACATGATGAAAACGCCGCGTGATGGAGACTCATTGATTTCAACCAATTAGTGTCAAAGATGTGTGAGAAATTTCAGCGATGGACAAGACTGAAAAAGAAACTCGACTGGACTTAGATCAATTATTAACAACCATCAAAGTCATTTAACCTCAAAATTACGAACAAATTTAAGGACTGCACGAAATAAACCAAAAGTCTATATCACATTTATTAAGCTATTGATATTTTACAGCGGATGGCATCAACATTCCCTGTGGGGGTGGTGCTATCTGAGGGCTCTGCTCTGTCTAAGGCTCTGTTACTCAAGTTTGAATTTAATCGGAGCTTTATTTCAACAGAATCTGACCATAAAGAAGTGATTTAGTTAGAACTATAACAGGTGAACTGGTTTGTCTTTGTCTCTTACAAATGATATTTACAGAAGCATTTGAGTTTTTCAGTTAGTCACACGTCTTTTTTGTTGAAAATAAAACACCTAACAGGATAATGAACTGTATTGTATTTTCAAACTTTCTTAACACGTTTTTTTTTACTGTGTTTGCTAATGTGTGCATTGTGTCACTATGGAAAGTGCTGACCGTTCCCACCTGTCCATGCATGTAGAACACCCCCTGCATGATGTCAGAGCGAAGCATTAATTACTGTTTATAGGCCCACAGTCTCCTTGCTGAAGGGATGAGACAGGATAACCACTCTGCCGCGGTAAAACGGGGGTGGGGGGGTGGGGTTGGGCGCGCACACTTCACTCAGAGTGATCAGGAGTCTAACCCACAACCTCTCATGTGACGGGCATAGATGATAATATCGTCAGACTTGTACAGAAGAGTTGAATGCGTCCTTTTCCCTCTGGACTCTCTGACAGTTTGAGCGCTGCGTTGCTTTTATGTTTTACGTCTACGGGGACAGAGCTTTAAACACAAACCCACTGGGATCAATACAGAGATGTTAGACAAGACACTTCAAAACGGAAATGAGAGAGAGACACTTCCAGCGCTCAAGAGCAACACAAGGGCAGAGCAAACCAGGATCTACGTTCAAACACTAATCTTCTTTACAATTACAGCTCCTAGATTCTTTTAATTTGACTTATTAAAGCAGACTTATTCTTCAAAATCAAAACATTTTAGAGCTTTCATCCATGTTATAGTTGTTTCTCCTCACCATTGATTTGTGTATGTTTGAGCAATCTTTCATCGCTTTTGTGCAGTTATCAGCAGGTTAAGGCTCGTGATGACGCTGATGACGTTAGGTTTAGGTGTCATAAATGATCACTATAGAGCAGACACAAGAACAGTAGGTCTGCTTGAAGTTTTTTAACCCTGTTCTGATGCACTGTCCTCCTTAGAAACATCCCTGGAGTTGTGTTCTGCTTCATTCACATGCTTCAGTAATAACATGCTTGCAGAATCTGTTCCACCTTGTGACATAATCAAGTGGTAATCCAGATTTTATTTCTTACTCTAAAGATACTGATAAGAGTATTGTTAAAATATCATATTGTAGCAGTATTGATAATAGTAGTATTGAAAAATCCTTAACAATAGCCATAGCTGATTATAAAGAGTTTTTATTGTCCGCAAATCAGGAAGTAGCATTATTAGCATGCTAGTTGTTGTTAACTTTACCGAGATGATAAAACTCTGGTCTGGCCTCTGAAAGCTGTGAAACATGCTCATAAACTCATCATGATGAGTAATTAGGATACTCAGAATGCAAAAGGTGGAATAACTTTGAACCACTGCAAACTTTTTCAAATTCTGTTGAGTTCTAGTTCTGTTTTTCACGTTTTTAAGACGGTAAAAAACAGGCACAGCACCTTTAATTTATTTTGTGTAATATGGATTATAGTGAGATTCCTTGATAGTCTTTTCTTGTTGCGTTGGGGTCGCTGAGGTGAAGCCCTTCTCCTGTTGTGTGTATTTGTGTATCTCAGTAGTCATGGTGGTAGGTGTTGAGAGGTGTATACATTTCATGCTGAGGGCGTGTGGGTTTGGCTGGGCTCCGGCGGTCAGTGTGTCAGCCAGAAAGGGAAGTGTGTGACCTACATTTGAATCCAGGTACAGTCCAGTTATATTCCGGTTATCGTCCTGTTACAGTCTCGCCTTTGGTCAGTCTCTGTCAACCTAAATTTGTATTAGTTACTGGATTATTTTATTGGGATTAAGAAGAATTTACATAGACAGAAGACACCATTGAGTTAGCCAAAGTTGTATTTTTTTCTGAATGATAAAGTCAAGTTGATGTGACATAAAAAGAGAGATAAAAAACAAAACAAAAAACACTTTACATTAATTGTTCTGATTTGGAGTAGAAGATTGAATGGGAAATTGCTCTAAAACTCTCATGATTATAATTTTCCAGGACTTGCAATCATACTATGACCTGAGTAATCATAATCATCTTGCACCCCGCACATTAAAGTCCAGTTACAGTTTGGGCCTGGTCTCTATCTCTGCGGCCTGAATCTCAGCCAAAGATCATGTGACTCTGAAGGTGAAGGGTAAATATAGACTGGAGGATTAAAGAGGAACTGTCCTGGAAACACTGTGAACTATGGAAAAGCCTTAGTTCCTGTTTAACTCTTATTAAAGTTTGGAGAAACAGTGGTGCCGTGCAGGACGATGGTGCAACTCAAGTACAAAGTCTGGTGATGTCCTTGAGCAACACACTTCTTCTATCCTGTGTGATTAGATTTAATGTGGAGTCATGGTCTATCATTATTATTATTATTATTATTTACCTCTATACCTTGCTTTATGTACATTTAATGGCATCAAAGGATTTTATTCATGTGTTTAAGCTTTCTGTTTGTAACTGACATTTTAATGACTTAATAATGATTGTGCTAATGCTTTTTATCACTCTAAAACCATGGAATCTTTTATTAAACACTACATTATTTGTAATAAAACTTCACATGGATATTACTCACATTCACCAACTGTATATTCACTTCTGCTTTTGTCTTTTTGTTTAGTCCTTGTCAAGTGGTTTACTCCTATTTTGTCCTGTTTTAGTTCTGGTTAAGTTCTGGTTCAGTCCTGGTTTAGTCCTAACATAAACCCTATTTTGTGATAGGACATCTGTGAGGATATCTCAGACCATGTGGAGCAGATCCACGCTCTGTTGGAGACAGAGTTCTCCCTGAAGCTGCTCTCCTACTCTGTCAACATCATCGTCGACATCAGGTCAGCCTGAACATCTTTCTTTGTTACTTCATAAATAGTTTCTTGATAAATGTTAATCATTGTATTGGTGTTTTATTATAGGAGTGTGCAGCTGCTGTGGCACCAGCTCAGAGTCTCAGTCCTGGTTCTAAAGGAGAGACTTCTTCAGGGGCTACAGGACTCCAACGGCAACTTCACCAGACAGACCGATATTCTACAGGCTTTTAACCAACAAAGCCAGGTAAACTCCACATTTATACAATAATATGTATATCCATATAACTACACTTTTACAACCTCTTGTATATAACTGAGATATGTTTTTATTTCTTTATTTCTATATTTTGTTTTTACTTGTACATATACATTTATATTATTACACCTTATTTGACACTAGTCTCTTGCTATTTCTGCTACTTATTTGAAATTTATTATTACCATTTATATTTTTTACTCTTTGTTATTATATTATATTGTGATGTGTGAGCGACTGTGTCCAAGTCATTTCCCTTGTGGATCAATAAAGTTTGAAACTATTAAACTTGCACATGCTTCACAGAACATTGTAGCCCTACTAAAAATGTTGAAATTTCACAGCCAAAACAAAACATCTTCACAATTGTATTTAAACATTTTGTAAATAACTGTATTGTTATTCCTGGTCCTAGACTCGTTTGGAGGACCTGACAGAGGTGGACGACTGTGGAGCTCTGACCATTCGCTGCAGTCAGGACTATTTCTCTCTGGACTGTGGCATCACTGCGTTTGAACTGAGCGACTACAGCCCCAGTGATGAAACACGTGAAGAAAACCAGCTGAAAGAGGAGACAAATGAACCAAAAAACTCAGAATTACAACAAGAAAGTACAGGCACAAGTGACATCTCGCGACAAGAGGTTAGACTATCGTCAACATTACAATGCAGCAATGAGAGTGTGAAAAGAAGTCACAGCGTAGAGGGCTCTCCCACTCATCAGTCTCAGCCCAAAAGAGCAGCTCTGGTCTCGGATCCAGACCAGGGGGAGGCCATAGGAGCAGACCCAGAAACGAAGCACCAAACTCAGGCAGAGATCAGCCACAGCCCCCTTTCCTCCATGGAGACTCCAGACAGGAACAGGTTCTGGTTGGAGCTGGATGAGGTTTATCCACAGAACAAGGTGAGTGAGGCAGTGAAAAAGTTTAGTCCTGGTCTAGTGCTGGTTTAATGCTAGTTTAGTGTTGGTTTACTCTTGGTTAAGTCCTGATTTAGTCCTGGTGTAGTCCTGGTTTAGTCTTGGTTTAGTACTGGTTTATTTTTGGTTTAGTTGTAGTTTATACCTGGTTAAATCCTGATGTAGTCCTAGTTTAGTCCTGGTTTAGTTCTAGGTTATGGACTGAACTGGTTTAGAGCTCTGTTTATTTCTTGTCGGTGTGATTTTAGTCCTGGTTTAGACCCAATTTACTTCTCCCCTTAATCCAAGCTGAGCAATTAATCAAATTTTAATCAAATCAAGATTCAATCGTTTTAGAACATCAGTGATTGGCTTGGGTCTAATGGTTTGGAGCAGAGCGCAGACTTTGGAGGAAGACATTAGATTTTTTAATGATGAATTGTGATCCATCAACATGATTGAGAATTGATTTAGACAGTTTGCTTTAGATTAATTATTGACACAGTTTGTCAGTCTTTCTTCTGAACTTGTATTGATTCAAGCTTTATTTTGTCCAAACATTTAATTTAAAGTTCAAATTGAAGTTCAAATCTTCTCTTTGTTTTCGTTCTCAGATCACGATCGCACCCCTCCAGAGTCGCTCCAGCTCCACAGGGGTCTCACAGTCGGCTGTACCCGATGGTAGGAGCTCGTCTGCGGGCACAGAGAGCTCGGACAGCCCCCTGTGTGCCGTGGATGAAGCAGAGAGGAGGCAGTCTCACGCACAGAACAGAGGGGAGTCGATGGGGGAGTCGGACTCCCCTCTGCCCTCCCCCACCCCAGGCCAAACTTCCTCAGACCTGGAGGCGTCAGCGGAGGAGTCCAGACCATCCAGCTCTGAGGCCTGGGTCTACAGGAGCAAGAACAGCCAGGTGAGGAGCAGAGGGAGGAGAGAGGAGAGAGGGGGAGAGAAGGACAGAGGAGGGAAAGAAGGACAGAGGAGGATGGAGAAGGAAATAGGGAGCAGAGAAGGAGAGAGGGGGTAGAGAGGGACAGAGGAGGATGGAGAGGGAGAGAGGGGGGAGAAGGAGAGAGGGGATGGAGAGGGAGAGAGCAGGGAGGGACAGGGTCTGATAGGCATTCTAACCAGGGAAATTTAGTTAACAGATACATTTGCCATTGCACATTTTTGCACATTACAGTTAAACAAAAACTAAGCAAAAACATTCATGGAAGTGTAAAAGCATCAAAAGCGGCTAAGTGGCTAGATATTGCAAAACAACTTATTAAAATGAAATAAAAAATAACAAAAAGGTTGCATGGGGACAATATTCAAGGTTAATTTGCAAACAAATCTAGTAAAATTTGTGATGTAAAAGCACAGGAGGATTAGCTTAGTGCTAATCAAGATTGCAATAATGTAACATTGTTCAGACCTGATATAGTCCCCTTTTAGTTCTACTTTAGCCTGGTTTTGTCCTGGTTTGATCCTGGTTTGATCCTGGTTTAGTCCTGGTTTAGTCCTGGTTTAGTCCTGGTTTTGTCCTGGTTTTATCCTTGCTTTTATCCCTGTTTTAGATTGTCATATTCTGTAATTTTATATTCTGTCTTAATGATTCTCTCTCTCCATGTCTCTTTCTCCCTCCATCCCTCTCTCCCTCCTCCAGAGGGTCCCTGACTCCTCTCAGCTCAGTCCTCATCGGCAGCACTGGTTTGGGTCAGAGGAGTTCTTGGCTCTTCCAGCTCAGCTTCGGAAAACTGAGATTCTCACCATGAACCTGGAGACTCTGGCAAAGTCCATGCCTCTGGTCAGTATCACACATGTCAACACTGTCAGCTGAAAACTAGGTGGGCACTAAAGGTACAAGAAATGTTATTGCAGAAATGTTCATTGGTAACAAAAGCAGTAGAATTTTTAGCACAGTGGTCGCTGGATTACAGTTTTACGGTGTTTTACACTGTCACCCTTTTCACAAGGCCTGAGTTTGTAGGTCTGACACGAGCACTGTTGCCATAGCAATTAACTATTAAAAACACACATCACAACACACACATTACATCGTTTGAGTGGTCAAAAGTCCCCAAAATGTCTCCTACAAGCCCAGTTGATAGAGCGTTCGTCCACTGGTCTGATGGTTGATGGTTCAAATCCCACTCTCAACATAAACATCATGGGTTGAGCGATCAGGTCCACTGACCCACATTTTGGCTGTTGTGATTCCAGCTCCCACAGATGAATGCTGTCTTTGTGTTCTTGGGCAAGACACTTAACCCACCTTGCCCTAGTGTATGCGTACACTGGTGTATGAATGTCCGTGTGAATGTGTGAGTGGTTCCTTGTTGTAAAGTGCTTTGAGTACTTTGAAGGTGGAAAAGCGCTATAGAAAAATGTGACCGTTTACCATTTACAAAAGGAGGCTGAAACCCATGAATATAATTCTGTGAAATAAATAGGTGTCCATCTTATGTGTTGTCCTACCAAAATTTTCAAACTAAATTTTGATACTAAGGAATAGGCTTGATACCACAATGGAATTTAAATCTCCTTTTTAAAAACATAGACTGTCATTTACCACACAAAATAATGTTTCTTCGTGTTAACATGGGACATTCTGATAAACCTCAAGATCATTCTTCAACTGTTCAGGAAAAGAAAAAATGAATTGAAAACCTAACCGTGTCTATTTTGTGTTTTGCGCCTCAGGGCTCAAGGAGGTGCGATCCTTCCCATGATGCTTTGCAGGATGTGGACGACTGGGACCTGACAGAATTGAACCAAGACCTGAACCAGGACCTGAGCTCGGACTGGGAGAGCCTGGAGACCGGAGCAGAGACTGGGAGCAGTGTGGAGGAGAGTGAAGACCCTTCTCCTCTGCCCAGACAACAGGTAAAAACAAACCTGAAAAAGTCCTGCTTCAGTTTAGTTTATTAGTTTATAACTTTATAGATACTTTGCAGCTGATGTTAGACTTTAATCTGAATTTCATTCCAACACAATCTGACTACAAAGAGCTGACTTGTTTAGAACTACAAACGGTGAGATGATTTGTGCTCTTAAACAAGTCTCTGGTGCATAAAATTGCAGTCACAAACTAGCTAGCATTAACCAGCAGTTTTTCAGTGTTCAGTCACTCTCACCTTTTTGTTGAAAATCGAACTCCTAAAGAGGACCATGAACACTCATATTGATCACAGGCTCCTGAAAATGTGTTGTTTAAATCCATCTTGTATTTTTCTTTTTCTTGAGTTTTCAGACTATATTAAAACTTTTTTGTCTGTGCTTGCTAATGTGTGCATTGTGTCACCATGGAAACTGCTGAACATTCTGCCAAAAGAAATGCATTATATAGCACCCCAGTGTGATGTCACTGCAAAGTATCATTAGTTTAATGGTTTAGAGACCATTAATCTCATAGGATAAAATGTGCTTCACGCCAGATTTGTCTAAAGATAGTTTCCACAGATGTATGGACACCATCACTGTGAGATAACTTGAACTTCCCCAATTTAGTGCTCCAGAGAAGAAACCAGGTCTTAAGTTAACCAGGTCTAAAACAGGATAAAATCAGGTCAAAACCAAGTCTAAACCAGTGCTAAAGCAGATCTTGCCTTCTTATTTATCTTCTTTAGCATTTATAATTTGTTTCTCATTACATTTTCTCTAGTAGTACCAACATCAGTAGTAGTAGTTGCAGAGCAGAAGAAGGAGACATAGCAGTTGTAGTTGTAGTAGAAGTAATGGTAGAGTACTGACACTGGCTGTAAAAATATAATAACAGACAGTATAGTCATTTATAAAACACATTTTTGTATTTATTTTTTTCAGTTCCCGTTGAGACGTCAGCTCCTCCCTCGCCGCTTTAGCCCCTCCTCCTCCAGTGACGCCGCTCTTTCGTTGGACGGGAGCCTTGAGTCTGGACGAATCAGTGAGCTGCATTCAGAAGATGAGGCGGGAACTGTGGACAGAGGCGTCACAGCGCCCCCCACGGACGGGGCAGGGAGAAGCGCGCTGGTGCAAAAACTACTACAGCACTTTCAAATCCCCGACCAGGACCCACGAGTCTGGAGCAGAATGGAGGTAACGGGAAAATACTACGATTCAGTTTATTTTATCATCAATGTTTGTCATATGCACGCAATAAAAAAAGCCAAAAAAGATATAGAAAACTCTGCAATCCAGGACAGAAATAATTCATTTATCCTGTGCCAGCAAGTGATCCATTCATCCATGTAGCTCCTCTGTGGTTTTAAAGTCTATTCACCTTCACCAGGCTTATTTTCATGATTTCTAATGTTCAAAATGTTATGATTAACAGCTTAGCCACTCTGACGTCAGCTGGCATTGTATTTTAGCTTGATCCAAACTGCTTCTTTCCACCCTTTTATTGGAATCTCTTTTACTGTTGCTGTTGAATGTGTGTACTTGGCTTTAGTGTTATATGGTAAATGTTTTTCCCAAGAAATATTTCTAACAGGAAAAGTGTCAAAACTGCTGTTGTGTCCTTAGGCAATACATTTTACGCACAGTGCTTCATATGAATGTGGTGTGAGCAAACGGTGGTGGTTGGAGGGACAGATGGCACAGACTCACAGCCCTGCTTCCATCAGTCTGCCCCCGGGCTGTTGTGGCTACAGTAGTGTCTTACCACCACCAAGTGCGGAGTGAATGAATAATGCATGAAACTGTTAAGTGACTTTGAGCATTTGGAAAAGTGCTATATGAGACTAATACAAGAGCGGACTGGTACCAAAAAATGGCCCTGGACCTTTCCCCCAAAAATCAGCTCACGAAAAAAAATTGACAGTTATTAAGAGGAAACCTTTTATATATTTATTTGAATAGATTGCTAATTATTATCAGGTTGTCGATTCACAAAGCTGCAGACTTTGGAGAAGGCTGTTCTGTTCATTTATACGGAAGCCGAGAGGGGTCACAACAAACACGCCGCAACAAATACAAATGTGACAACACAACAAAAAAAGCCACAACGGAAATGACTGCTGGACTCTATTTTAATGCAAACGCCGCAACAAATACAAATGCCACAACACATTAAAAAACCACAACACATCAAAAAGCCACAACAGAACTGACCGCTGGACTCTATTTTCCGACGGACCGATCAAGCTGCAAGTTGAAGAAGAAGAACTACAACGTGAAACAAATAATGATAAAACAATAAATTACTTTTACTTACATTTCCAACTTCTCCGTTCCTTTACTTTTCACATTGTAGTTCTTCTTCACTTGCCGCTTGATTGGTCCATCGGAAAATAGAGACCCGCGGTCACTTCTGTTGTGGCTTTTTAATGTGTTGCCGCATTTGCGTTTGTGTTGTGGCGTTTGTATTTGTTGCGGCGTTTGCATTAAAATAGAGTCCCCTGGTCATTTCCGTTGTGGCTTTTTTTGGTGTGTTGTGGCTTTTTGTTGTGTTGTCGCATTTGTATTTGTTGCTGTGTTTGCATTTGTTGTGACCCCTCTCGGCTTCCGTACATTTAGTTCCAGTGTACATTTGTTTAGACCTGGTTTTAGCTCTGTGCGGACCCAAATTCTGTTGCAGCCCTGTGTTATTGTATAGACACACATTATATTAAGTTATATTCAGGAAACACCAAAGCTAAAGTAGTTTAAAACTACTGAATAATGCATGACACAGGCCTTTAATCTCTACTCTGTGATTGGCCGGTTGGTCCATATTGTCTTGCTCGTCTCGTCGGGTTGATGCATGAGGTCGTGGCGTTCTCCTCCTCGCCGTCTCATCCATCACCTCTCCACCAAAAGGTCACGTTTGATCGACACAAACTTTATTGATCAGGCGACGCGCTCCTTTAATCGCTCATATCTGTCATATTCAATACAAGCAAATGCCAAAGCGGAGGGGAGAGGCGGCCATCTTTAATTATCAGAGCAGAGATTGGCCACAGATCGGTGAGATTTTGATCCCATTTGGTTTGGTTCAGATTCAGAGCTGAAGATGGGGTCAACATTATGACTGTCACATTATTATTACAGCTGGAGACAAGTCAATTTGAGCTAAGTGAGAGTGAAGGGGGAAGATGGATGGGTAAGGACTAGACCAGGATTATAGGAGGGCTAAAAGGGATCTAAAACAGGACTGGAACAGAACTAAACCAGGAATGAAGGAGGTTTAAAACAAGGATAAACCAGGACTAAAACAGGATTTAACCAGGGCTAAAGTAGGTCTAAAACAGGACTGAAATAGGGCTAAAACAGGTCTAAAGGAGGACTGAACTGGGTCTAAGGAGGGACTGTTCACACACTCACACCATCGCAAAATTGGACTACACCAGGACTTGAACAAGACCAGTCAGGACATCTGAATTACACTGGGCGCCAACCATGATGAGAAAATGTCCCCTAATGAGTAAAGACTTAAACAATTCTACTTTAGACAACTTTAATGGGCCAAACATTGCACTAACTCTGAAAACCTAACGTGATGGTGTGCCCTCTCCTCGTGCTCGTGCTGTGTGACCCCTAGTCCCTGCTCTGCTCCTCCTCATTCACATTCGCACGTGTTGAGCTCTGACAGGTTTAATGTCACAACTGATGACCTGTCTGTCCCTATGATGGGAATCTCATTTAAACTGTCATTTAAAACACAAGAGGACATGAGCTGGGCAGGGATCCAACAGAGATATGATCGATTTGTAAGTAGTGTCGTCTACAAGATAATATTGAAATAGTTGATTTTAAAGAGGCTGCACGTTATTTTTAACATGTAATAATTAAGTTCAATGTGTCTTTCCCAGTGTAGTGCTAGTATACTGCATAAGCACCTACTCAGGTCAAAATAAGTCTGCTGTGTGCTATCTGCTTCTAATTATACAGCATATTACCCTGAACCAGGAGGTAAGGCTGGCGCGCAGTTACCACGCTAGTTGTCATCAGTTTTACAGTGAAGGCAAAACTCCACTCTCTGAAAGTGCTAAGTCCTAAAGTGCTTATAAACTCATCACAGTGAATAATTAAGACATTGGTAATGTGTTGGAAAAAGGAGCAAGAACTTTGGACCCTGGACACTGCCCTGTGGGGGTGTCTCACTGGGAGGACCTAGGACACGCTGGAGGGACCAGGTCTCTGAGTGGCCTAGATTGGCTCGAAATGCTAGGCCAGGGACTCAAACATGTCTGCCTGTTAGTGTGAATGGGCTGAGATCAATGGAGCTAGTTTAGTATTTAGAGATCAGGTACATCCGGTGGCAGTGGAGGTTGCTGACCATTTGCAGTAGTGCTCTTCTCCCTCATGTACCATGTGACCACTCTGACCAATCAGAGCAAAAGCAGCTAGATGAACTATGAGCTGAGCAAATGTTTATGATCTGAAAATGGACTTTGTGAAAGCTGTAGGTCCCTGGTTAACACTTTAAAACATAAGATATGACAATGTGACAAGTTTGTGGAGCCAGTCCCAGACAAATAATGATACGGGTCAACATTTGTGGATCAGGAGGTTAGAGAAAAAAACTGTGACTCTTCCATAGAGTTATAGCCCTCCATCTGAAATTATGACATCACAAACTTAGAACGTGAACACAACCTATTGAAAATACACCAGTGAAACACTAAAACAACCTGATAACACGCTCTACAATGGTAAAAGTTGTTGCAGTCCTTCGCGGTTCCATAAATCGTGCTGTGTGACAGTTTGCCGCAGTCTAAATCGTTGTCCGTAAACACATTTGTAAATGCCAAAATATTGAATGCTCGTGTTTAGAAATGAAGACGTGAGACAGAGGGAGCTCATCGCGGCCTCTCAATCCTGCACCTTTGTAAATGACACGCCGCGCGCCTGTAATTAGCGATTAGCTGCTTAATTAGCGCGAGTCGTCATGGCGATAGACGAGCCACTCCGGAATGAGGAAGTGAAGGAGGAGGCGTGTGCTACGGAGCGGAAAGGGCGAGACTCACAGAGAAAGAAGCGGGGAGAGAGAAAGATACTTGGAGTGGCCACAAGGCTGCAGTGTTGTAATCCAGTTGAAAAAAACTAAATAGGTTTGATCTGGACTAAAACCAGATTAAACCAGGTCCAGCCTATAGAACAAAACTAGGATAAAAGCATGAACTGCACCAGGGGTCTCCAACCTGTAGCTCTGGAGCTCTCCACTTCCCCTTCCAAGGAGCTCGCCAAAGGATTTCTGAATTAGATGTATTGTGCTGAATAACTAATATATGTTTAGTTAAATGCCTTTTGACGCCTAACTTTGTACACTAATAAATAGATAATGGTTTATGTTTTATAGGCATTTAACTGTTTCTGATCTAAGGCTCGCCGTGGCTCTTATACATAGAAAATTTCTTGTGACCCCTAAAACTAGTAGCTCTCTGGCATTTTTGTTTTGTAAAAGTAACTCACTGGAGGAAAAAGGTTGGAGATCCCTGACCTACACCATGACTAAACCAGTCCCAATCCAAGACTAAACTGGGACTAAATCAGGAGTAAACCTGGACTAAACCAGGACCAAACCAAGAATAAAACCCATAAAAACTGAATTAGGACTAGTAATATAGGTTTTAATCATTCTCCTATATCCCTGTGTGTCAGATGGCCTTCCGTCCATGTTCTAGTATTTCCATGTAGTGTTAGACTGAGACTGGAGCAGGTCAAATGTCTGTAATGAATCTGCAGATGTTATGGTGTGTCAGATGCCCTCCCAGATGTTGTGCTGTGTTTGGATAAATACAGCGGGAGAATGGACCTTGTCACTGATAGAAATGATGAAGAAAAAACTCTCTCTCTCTCTGTCTCTCTCTCTCTCTGTCTCTCTTACACTTGTTCACTCGCCCATGTCTCGCTTCATGTAAATGTCTTGTTTGGAGCCGGTTCACTGTGGGGTCGCTGTCGGACGCTGTGACCTTTGCCCTTTGACCCCTGCTGTGATTTCTCTGTGGAGGTTCAGAGCCTGCAGCGTTTCACCTCAAAACAAAGCACTTCCTCCATCCTAATCACCTCCTGCTAGTGATAATGCACAGGGCTGCTATCCTATAACTCCAGCATATACAGTATGGGGGTACTGATACTTACCTTAGTATAGACTTCACAATCGTATTTAGACAAGAGCTGTTCAATTTCTATTGTAACAAAAGTGAAATTGTCCAAAAATTATTAACGTGTTTATAAATTAGCATTGCAAAGACTTACCATGATTTACCGGATTTATCGTGACTAAATGAGAATTGAAATGTGACAAAATTAGGACTGAATCAATTCCGAGTCTAAACTTGGTCTAAACCAGGACTAGTTCAGGTCCAAGTCAGGACTAAGGTAGATTTAAAACAGGATTAAACCAGGTCTATTTTGGGACTATACCAGTACTAAACCAAGACAAATGTCTAACCCAAGAGAAAACCAGCTCTCAACAAAGTCTAACCCAGGATTAAGCCAGGACCAAGCCATGACTAAACCAGGATTAAACCAGAGTTTAACCAGAAGCAAACCAGAACTAAAGCAGAATTAAGCCAGGACTAAACCAGAACTAAAGTAGAACTAAAGTAGAACTAAAGCAGAACTAAACCAGAATTAAACCAGGGTTAAACAAAGGACAAACCAGAACTAAACCAGAAGTAATCCAGGGCTAAACCAAGGACTAAACCAGAACCAAACAAGAACTAAACAGAACTAAACCAGAACTAAACCAGGGCTAAACCAAGGACTAAACCAGAACCAAACCAGGGCTAAACCCAAGGACTAAACCAGAACCAAACAAGAACCAAACCAGAACTAAACCAGGGCTAAACCAAGGACTAAACCAGAACCAAACCAGGGCTAAACCAAGGACTAAACCAGAACCAAACAAGAACCAAACCAGAACTAAACCAGGGCTAAACCAAGAACTAAACCAGAACCAAAGAACTAAACCAGAACTATACCAGGGGTAAACCCAAGGACTAAACAAGAACTAAACCAGAACTATACCAGGGGTAAACCAGGACTAAACCAGGTACAAACCAAGAACTAAACAAGGACTAATCTGTTACTAAACCAGGGCTAAACCAAAACCCCTGCCCAGGTGATTAAACCAGTTCTAAAAGACTCTGCAAATGTTCAAACCCAGGCAATATCAGACTTTAGGGCCAGTTGTGGTGTAACCGAGCACTAGATGGCAGTATTTCTCCACTCTCATGTGTGATCCTCATGACTGTTTTAACTGTCCTTTTCTATTATAATATTTATACATTGATTCATTTCTCGTCTCATTCTCTCGCTGCCTATTTGCTCGCGCCTTTTTAGTTTTAATTTTCTTTTAATACATTTACCCAAGACGCCAACTCTTACTCCCAGAATTCATTAAACTCTTTTACTCTTATCTGCAGAGGGGGCAGAGCGACCAGCCAGTGTAGTCAAGTTATTTACAGAAGAAATATGAGGCTTTATTTTCTAGTATTTGGTAATAAACGTTGACTTACCTAGATCAGTATTTTACAGTTCGTTCTCAGCTAAGAGAAATGGGTCCATTGACTTCCTGTTCAAAACTGCAAAAGTGACGCAAGATTAATCGCAGTTGAACTGAAATCGGAATTTGAATGGAAGCAATTAGCAAATCACAATGGCTGCAGTTTTAGCACCAAAATTTCCTCCACAAACAACAAAATCTCCTGTCTTATTCTGCACAAAAACTGCTCACCCTGTAGTTTAGATCTGTACAAACATGTTCTGAAATGTGATTCTTGTGTTAGTTTGTCACTTCATATTTCAGTCTTTTTGTGACATCTTCTGGACAGGTTTAAAATGTGAACTTAGAACAGAATCCTACTATTAATACATAAATTGCAAATCTAATCATAATCACAATGTTTGCCAGAAAAATCGCAATTAAATATTAAAATATGATATAACAGCTGAGAGAGGATTCAAATTATTATAGTTTATGAAAAACACTGCAGTTCAAAATTTGAGGATTTTCATTTGTATCTGTTTCATAGAGAAAAGACAATTAAACATTAAGTCGTCACATTTAAATTCATCAATGAGTTAACCAACCAATATCTCCTTCCTCTTATTGCATTTAAATCATAGATAAAATTATATAAATGTATCTTTTTGTGTTGTTTTTTCAGTCTCTGGTGCAGAAGTTGGACGGGTTCATCTCGTGGCTCCAGGATTCACTTGACAGCACCGAAAACTGGACCCAACCCAGACAAGACCTGGAGAGCCTCAAAGCCTACCTGACCACACACTTGGTAAATATAAGGACTAATAAACCAGGCCTGAACTGGGACTAAAGTGGAACTAAAGCAGGACTAAAGCAGGACTAAACCAAGAATAAAGCAGGACTAAAGCAGGACTAAAGCAGGACTAAAGTAGGACTAAAGCAAGACTAAAGCAGGACTAAAGCAGGACTAAAGCAGGACTAAAGCAGGACTAGAGGAAGACTAAAGCAGGACTGAACCAGGGTTACACCAGGACTAAGCAAGGAGTGAACCAAGACTGAACCAGGAATGAACTAGGTCAAAATCTGACCCAAACCAGAACTAAAAAAGGACTACAACAGGAACAATTTCTTCTTTTTGTGTTTATTTTTTTCCCCTTTTGCAGTTCATTATTTTAATACGTCATTGTAAATCGAAAGCATTTAAAACATGTAAATGCATGTTAAAATAGAATATATTTAACATAGGAGCTCCAAATGCAACTGTGTTTACAACATTTTATTAGTGAAGGAAACAAGTGAGGAAACAAGTGAGGAAGGAAAGAGGAGCGAGGGAAGAATGATGCGTATTTACATAGAGAATGCAAACAAATGCAACAGCGATCGGCCCACACTGTTTTACATATATTTACATGTTCCCAGAGACCGCTCCAAATCAGCTATTCTGCCCCGATATCCAACAGCCAGGACTAAAGCAAGACCAGGACTAAAGCAGGACTCAACCAGGACTAAAGCAAGAGTGAACAAGGACTGAACCAGGACTAAACCAGGAGTAAACCAGGACTGAACCAGCACTAAAGCAGGACTAAACCAGGACTAAACCAGGTCTGAACCAGGACTAAAGCAGGACTGAACCAGGACTAAAGCAGGATTGAACAAGGACTAAACCAGGACTAAACCAGGTCTAAACCAGGACTAAACCTGGACTAAAGCAGGACTAAAGCAGGACTGAACCAGGACTAAACCAGGATTAAACCAGGACTAAACCAGGACTAAACCAGGACTAAAGCAGGACTGAGCAAGGACTGAACCAGGGCTAAATCAGGACTAAAGTAGGATTGAACAAGGACTAAACCAGGACTAAACTAGGACTAAACCAGAACTGAACCATAGCTAAACATATATTTATTTGTTCCAAAGACGGCTCCAAATCAGCAATTCTGACCTGATATCCAAGAACCGCCCTGTGTCTAAGAGGGACTGAACCAGGACTGAACCAGGACTAAAACAACACTGCACCAAGACTGAACAAGAACCATACCAGGACTGAACCAGGACTAAAACTCGTGTCATGCCCCTTGTGGCCCACCTCGTCTACGCATGTACGATTATAGTGTGAGTGAAAGGTGGATGCCGTTGGTACAGATTGATTTTGGTTGTGGGAATGAACGAATAATAGACCAAGTTTACCGACTAGTAATTTGATTGACAAGCCAAACCAATGTCAACTCAAGGTTAAAATTAGGACTTAAACTGGGACTAAACCAGATCTAAAACAGAGCTAAAAGTCTTGGATTGGAACCTAGACTAAACCCCAACCCAATCCAAGTCCTACCAATAAACCCAGGTCTAGCCCCCCCTCCCTGTTTGTTTATTTGCTGTTTGTTGTTTACATGCAGCGTCTCTTTGGTGCGTGTGCCAGGAGCCCACAGTAGCGTTAGCCGCGGTTAGCTTCAATTAGAATGTGTTAATTGGCTCGTCTCGTTAAATAAAGTGTGAGCGCGGGCACGGGATGAAAAGGCATCGCTCATCTGGACTTTGAAGCTCCGAACTGCGCCGCTGTTTGGGGCGAGCGAGCGTGTGCGTTTGAGGAGGGGAGAGATAGTCACAGTGCCATTAAAGACGCAGTGTGGAGAATGCAGCTGCAGGTGGCTCTGAAAGAATGCAAATTATTATTAGTGTGTTTTTATAACTTCTAATGTTTTTACTACTGTTTACTACCGAGTTTACTAATGTAGAGAACTGAGGAGCAGAGGAGCGCTCAGGAGTAGAGGATGCAGAGAAGTGGTCAGAGGAGCAGAGGATGAAGAGGAGGGGTCAGGAGCAGAGGAGAAAGCCAGAGGAGCTGAGGATGTAAAGGAGAGGGTCAGAGGATGAAGAAGAGAGGGTCAGAGGGAGCAGAGGATGAAGAAGAGAGGGTCAGAGGGAGCAGAGGATGAAGAAGAGAGGGTCAGAGGGAGCAGAGGATGAAGAAGAGAGGGTCAGAGGGAGCAGAGGATGAAGAAGAGAGGGTCAGAGGGAGCAGAGGATGAAGAAGAGAGGGTCAGAAGGAGCAGAGGATGAAGAGGAGAGGGTCAGAGGAGCAGAGGATGAAGTGCAGAGGGTGAGATGAGCAAACGAGACGGTCAGAGGCGCAGAGGATGAAGAGGAAAGGGTCCGAGGAGCAGAGGATAAAGAGGAGAAGGCCAGAGGAGCAGAGGATGAAGAGGAGGGGTCAGGAGTACAGGAGAAAGTCAGAGGAGCTGAGGTTGTAAAGGAGAGGATCAGAGGATGAAGAGGAGAGGGTCAGAGGAAGCAGAGGATAAAGAGGAGAGGGTCCGAGGGAGCAGAGGATAAAGAGGAGAGGGTCAGAGGGAGCAGAGGATAAAGAGGAGAGGGTCCGAGGGAGCAGAGGATGAAGAGGAGAGGGTCAGAGGGAGCAGAGGATGAAGAGGAGAGGGTCAGAGGGAGCAGAGGATGAAGAGGAGAGGGTCAGAGGAAGAAGAGGATGAAGAGGAGAGGGTCAGAGGAAGCAGAGGATGAAGAGGAAAGGGTCAGAGGAGCAGAGGATGAAGAGGAGAGGGTGAGATGAGCAGAAGAGAGGGTCAGAGGAGCAGAGGATGAAGAGGAAAGGGTCAGAGAGTCAGAGAATGAAGAGGAAAGGGTCAGAGGAGCTGAGGATGAAGAGGAAAGGGGCAGAGGAGCAAAGGAGAGGGTCAGAGGATCAGCGAATGCAGAAGAGAGGGTCAGACGATGCAGAGGAGCGGGTGAGAGGAGCAGAGGATCCTTTGTTTGAGCTGTATAGTATTGCTGGTTGTATTACTGTGTTTTTTTCTCTCAGTTTTTGGCTCTGGTCTCTTCGCTCAGTCTCTTTATTGTCCCTCTCCCCACAGTCTGCCTCAGGCCACACAGTCCAGCTGGCTCCTCTACGCTCTGTGTGTGTGAGAGAGTATGAGGACCAAACCAAAACTAAACTACCACCATGTGACGACTAAACCAGGACCAAACCAAGACCAAACCAGGAACAAATCTGGACTATACTACGACTCAACCAGTTTTGGAACCAGAGCCAACTCAGAACTAAACCAACCGCTAAATTAGGACTAAACCAAAAGTAAAACAGGGACAAAACCAGGGACTAAACCAGGGACTAAACAAAGGACAAAACTGAGACTAATCCGAGACTAAACCAGGAACTAAACCAGGGACTAAACTAAGGACTGGACTAGGGACTGGAATAGGGACTAAACCAGGGACCAAACCAGGGACTAAGCTAAGGACTAAACCAGGGACCAAACCAGGGACCAAACCAGGGACTAAACAAAGGACAAAACTGAGACTAAACCGAGACTAAAACAGGGACTAGTCTAGGGACTAAACCAGAGACTAAACCAGGGACTAAACCATGGCCTGAACCATGGACTAAACCATGGACTAAACCAGGACTCAACCAGGACTAAGCCAGGGACTAAACCAGGACTAAACAATGACTAAACCAGGGCTAAACCAGGACTAAACAAGTACTAAACCAGGAATAAACCAGGACTAAACAAGTACTAAACCAAGATTAAACCAGGACTAAACAAGTACTAAACCAAGGACTAAAGGAGGGCTAAACCAGGGGCTGAAGTAGAGACTAATGAGGACTAAATCAGGGAATAACCCAGAACTAAACAGGGACTAAACCATCACTTATGCAGGACAAAAGCAGAACCCAAACAAAGGACTAATCCGGGGCAAAACCTTGGTTTAATCATGGACTAAAGCGGGTCTGAACCAGGTCTAAACAAGGTCTAAAGCAGGACTAAATCATGTCTGAAGCCGGTCTAAAGCATCTGTTGTTGTGTGTAAATGGTCTTCCCGGGGGAGCGTGCTGAGAGGCTGTGGAGAGCTGAGACGGAGCCCAGTCAAAGTGTTTATCGATCGGGCAGTGATAGGGGAGACGCTGGGCCTTTGAATCCCATTACCCACAGCTAACGCGCAAACAGTGACAACACGCTACAGCGCTAACGGTGACAACACGCTAACACGCTAACTGAAACACAAGAGTGGACACAGAGGAGACGTCGATGGGATTAGCATTTTTACAGAGAGTGGGGACGCTGTTGCTTTATGAAAAATGACGCTGCAAAAAGAACGACTAAGATTGCGTTCTCAAAGTGCGATATTACGGAAACCGAGAGGGGTCACAACAAACGCAAATGCCGCAACAAATACAAATGCGACAACACAACAAAAAGCCACAACAAACCAAAAAAAGCCACAACGGAAATGACCGCGGGACTCTATTTTAATGCAAACGCCACAACACATTAAAAAGCCGCAACACATTAGAAAGCCACAGCACATTAAAATGCCACAACGGAAATGACGTTGGGACTCTATTTTAATGCAAGCGCCACAACAAATACAAACGCCACAACACAAACGCAAATGCCGCAACACATTAAAAAGCCACAACACATCAAAAAGCCACAACACATTAAAAAGCCACAACAGAAGTGACTGCGGGACTCTATTTTAATGCAAACGCCGCAGCAAATACAAACGCCACAACACAAATGCAAATGCTGCAACACATTAAAAAGCCACAACACATTAAAAAGCCACAACACATCGTCACATTGTAGTTCTTCTTCTTCACTTGCCGCTTGATCGGTCCGTCAGAAAATAGAGTCCCGTGGTCACTTCTGTTGTGGCTTTTTAATGTGTTGTGGCTTTTTAATGTGTTGTGGCTTTTTAATGTGTTGCGGCTTTTTGATGTGTTGCGGCTTTTTAATGTGTTGCGGCTTTTTGATGTGTTGCGGCTTTTTGATGTGTTGTGGCTTTTTA